CAATGAGACAATCTGCGCGGCGTCTGAAAGTGGGAGATCTTCCTCAACGATCCAAGCAACACACCTTTCCGATGCACCCAGACGCTTCACAAAGCCGCAGCTGTCATCACAAATCAACTTGACAAGCATGATGAATGAAGCCAATTGTCCACCCAGCGCAGCCGTTAAAGAAAAACTGCAAGCACACATACATTGCGCACATGTATATATGTATAATTACCCAAGTAAAAGGAAACAGAAGTAAAAAAAAAAAAGAGAACACAATACAAAGATAGAAAAGAGAGGGGAGAAAAGAAAGTCCACATGACTGCAGCAAACAAAAAAAAAAAAAAAAGAAGAGAGAGAGACAGAGAAGTTACTTCACAGCATCTCTGCTCTTCTCTGTCTGGTAAAACAGAAACAAGCAAAAAAAAAAAAAATTGACACTCCACTTCTTTTTCTTTTTTTTTTTTCTTAGGGTTCCGGTTCCCCTTTTCCATCATTCATGTCGTTCCCCTTCCCATCACCACAATTGTACTCTTTTATATTCCTTCTCCTTCTGTGTGTTTCCTTTTCTCCTCTCTATGATGCATTGGCACTCTATGTGAATCTCTTTGCTTACTCACACCCCTCCCTCCCCCTTCTCTCTCTCTCTCTCTCTGGGTTGAATTTATATCCGCAAACCGCTTACATTTTTTTCTTTCACATTTTTCTTTCTCTTTTTTTTTGTTTCCCCCCTCCCCTCTGAATTTCTTCTTCTTCTTTGGCGGGAGGATTAACACGCCATACGCGGCACCGCCATATCCATCACGCCCCCATCCCCGTCCTCGTCGTGCTCTTCCTCCTCCTCACGGTATCGTTTACGCAGCGCTTCTCCAAATGAGGCGCTGCGTGGGGCAACGTTCTGCGACGCCTCGTGACCCACATCCACCAGCAGTGCCTCGAGTGTGACAGGGGTGCCGCCCTCTAGCTGGTCAAGGAATGGATCCACTACAACATCGGCTGTCGTGTCTGCTGTTGCCACCAGCGCGGCGGGACGCGCAACAGGCAGCGCCTTTGGGCAAAAAAGGTTGGCAGCTGGACGCAGGTGTTCTTTAGCAGCGTCAATAACGGGCGACAAAACTCGCTTGTTGCCATTGATGGGGACGCTGTTCCTGCGGTTGTTACCTTCGCTGGCAGCGGCTGCAGAAGGTTCTGGTGAGCGCGTCTTCATGTCGGTACTCTGCTTTGACAAGCTGGCCGCCGGAGAAACCGACTTCTGCTCCTGCTTCCTTTGCGCTTCCAGTCCTTCCGCCATGTCAAGAACCATCGACGACTGCGAGTCTCCAAGCACCAAAAAAGATGACGGGCGGCTGACCGGCGGTGGTTGCGCCGACGAACTTGTAAACGTCATCATCGTCGTCTTGGCAGGCTTGCTGAAAGGGTTTTGTGGCTTTGTGCGGGTAGGCGGTGTTGTCGACTGGGTCAGCTGCTGGGGGCTGTGGCTACTCTCTCTGTTCACACTGCGGCTTGGCGTTGTGGTCGTGACCTCCGCAGGCCGTTTCGTTGGCGATGTTCCCTCCTGATCCGTGAAGGTCACGTGCCGCCTCGATGGACTCGCAACAGAAGTGGGGGCGTCATCGACACGTGACCGTCGCTCCGGCGTCGTTACCGCGCGAACTCCTGCGGAAGACGGCGGCGAAACTTCCTTCTCCGTCGCTTCAACCGCCCCCTCAGCCGGCTGCGGCGCTCCGTCGCCAGAGGTCTTTTCTTTCGCCAGCATCTTCCGCAAAAGCAGGTCCCGCTCGCGTTCACTAACGACGGACCCCTCAAGCGGCAACGTGCACCGACGCTTTTTCTTTGCCTTCACCCGCACCTCCAGCAGCGCAAGTAACTTCTGCACAAGTTTCCCGTGTCCCTGCGCGTTGGCTTCCTTGGCGCACACCTCAATGTTGTCTCTTAGTTCAAGATACGTTGCTAGATCCAGGGCACGTGTCGTCTGATGATCTTTCAGTGCATTTTTAAAGAGCTCAATGATCTTCTTGTCGTGCAACGCGTCGTGTTTGGCAATGACGGCGGTGTAAAACGTGCTGCGTCGCTTCACCTCATCCGCACGCACCTCCCGTCGCAGCAGGTGATCCCACGCGACCATATCCCTCTCCGTACCGCACCGAGTGAGTGGAAGGAACAGGCGCACGTGCTCCGTTGGTAAACCACTGGCGACAGCAGCGGGGTACGGCGGGTCGCTCTTGCACGAACGGTACGCAAACACTGCCTCGTCGCTGACGCCCCATATCCACAAGTTGTACGTCTGGTCCGCCATGCACCGCGGATCCAGCACCGGGATCCAACTCCCTCCCCAATTGAATGTAAACATGCGCAACACCCCAGCGGTGTCAGCGAAGTGCAGGGGACCGTCCTCGGACCACCCCATCCACTGCAGCTGATGCAAACTACCATCCGAATGCGTGGTGAGAGGGACAACAACAGGGGGTAAAACGACGGAGCGCGAGCCCACGTCAAGCACCTGCAGCCGCATCTCCCCACCACTCTCCAAATAACACACCGCGAGCGGATCAAAGTCGGCCTTGAAGGAGTGCATAATTTTACTGCTGTTTGTTCCCACCATCGCAACGATGCGAGGAAAAAGGCTGAGCACGGCGAGCTCAAGCCCAGAAAGGGAGAAGAGCCGCAGATAACGGCTCGTCGCGACTGCAGTGAAACGAATACCGGCAGTAAGGCAGCGAACAGTTTCGCCTGGGTAAAGCCGCACACGCCAATCTGACTGCGCCCCAAGGGCGACAAACGTGCGGTAGTATAGAGTCAAACGCGGCGTGTCGTCCACGCTGTCCATTTCAGCGTCCTGCGTCAACACAAATGCGGCTCCTACAGGACTCAACGCAGCCATTAAAATGGTGCCACGTTCCAAAATACGCACTGCTTGAATAGACATGTCGTGAAAATGGATATTGGTGCCGTCGGCAGTGCTGTGAATGTAGCCAACAGAGTTGTACGCTAGATAACAACTTCCCTCCTCCCCTACAGGTGTCGCGCCAATCTGAAAGGAATAATCAAACACAGCCGTCCCTGTACCTGCGTTTTTTGCTCGCACAGAGAAATCATGTGGCGGATGCGACGATGCCAATGACTCGTTTGCATCTGTCGCATCCGCCATTGACCCGCTGTCATCTTGACCATTATGACCGTGTTCACGACTAAAATATTCCTCCCCATTCATGACGTCATTGCCTTCACTATCGTTATCAGAGGACTCTTCTGCCTCGTCGTCAAGAAATACAGAGCGCTGCTTACGGCAAGCCTCCTCAGCAATTCGAAGAACCTCCTTTGGATTCTGACTCCGCCACCGCGAAGGTCGTTCCTCCACTTCACTGTCATCATCCTTGTAATGTGGATTGGTACGTTTCAAATCATCCACCACCTGCCGGAAGTCTTCCTTGGCGACGGAGGTGGAAGATGATGACGAGGCTCCATCGTCCACATCGCTGCCGCTTTCACTGCTGCTATCGCCGATGATACCACCATTCTCACCGTCATCGCCATCCGGTTGACGACGAGTGTCCTGGGGATTCTTCTTGACGCCGTCCCGCGCCTTTTCTCCGTCGTCCATTCTGTTTTCCCTTCGCATCTTTTTCCTCTTTGACACGTCGGTGTTGCCGGCGACAGGCCCGGCGCCCGCATCCGCCGTCCTCTTCGAGCCCAACGCCTTTGGCGCCTCACGACGCAGATAAGTGACAACACCGTCCCGCGTCCCAACGACAACATCGCCGCTCATCGCATCCACATGGACGTCCGTCACATCTGTAAAACTCTGCCCCTGTAGGCGCGTCACCCCCCACTTGCGGGCGTCCACCTTCGCGACAACAACGCCGGTGGTGCCAGCAAGCACAACGCAGAGAATGTTTGTCGAGAGTGAGTAGCACGTGACGCCCAGTAAGTCTGTCATGCCAAAGCTGTCAATCCCAGCAATGGGCCGGAGACGGTGCTTGTATGGCGGTGAAGTGGCCTCCTCAAAGCGCAGCACTTGTGCCTCCGTCACACCGGGGACAAGTAGCAGCAGAGAGCCATCGCCCCCACGAGCCCAACACAGTCGGTAGGCGACAGCGTCGTCACGCTTCGCTGTCGGGGAGAGAAGTTTTGGAAGCACAAAACTGACGCCTTTGAGCCGCTCCATCGCAGCCTGATGCTCTGGCAAAAGTTCCTCTTGAGAAAAGGGTGTTGCCTGTGTGCTGATAGAAGTGCATGCAGACACGACGCCTACGGCACCGCTCGCAGAGGCCATGGAAATAAGATTTCCACATGGAGATAAGGCAAGGCCAACTAACGGATGTGGAACATTCATCGGCATAGTCTGGACACTGCAGCCTTGTGGCGACATTTGCAGACAACGCAGGGAATCACCACCAATAAACACACGCCGTCGCTCCGTGTCAAACAAGACACAACGAACTTCACCGGTAACACGACATATAACGCGTGAGGTGGAGGCGGAAAGCACGTTCTCGTGCAGGACAACGTTACCGTCCCGGCCGCACGATATCGCCAATCCCAACACAGCATGCAGCGCGACGCATGTGACGGCTCCATCATGACACTGTCGAGCCCAAAGCTGCTTGCAAGACGGCCATCGTTTCTTCGGATAAAAAGTCACAACACCATCGGTGCCGCCCGTCAAGACATGTTCGCCGTCCACACACACACGTGTCGCCCCGGCTGGATGAGCCTGCAGTTGCGGAAGCATTCTCTCAAGCAACACAAAGAAAAGGCATCACAAGCAAAAGCACATTTGTACGTGTGTTATATAAGCGGGTAAAAAAAAAAACAGAAAGAAAAAACAGAAAGAAAAGGCTGTACACGGGTACGGGCACGTTTCTATAAATAAGTCAGAGAATCACAGAAACCAGTCATGCACTCAGAAGCAGTAACAGTATCAATAATAGCAATAATCACAACAGTACAAAAAAAAAAAAAAAAAAGAGTCCCACCATGATTCCCATATTATTCTCCTGTCATAAATGGGCCTCCTACGTCCTCTGTGACCCTTTCTCTGGTGTGCCGTCTTCGGTTGTCTTCAATGCAGAAAATGACGCATCTGCATTGAGCAAAGCAGACGACATCGAGCCCAGCTGCCGGTGCTGTTCCTGTTCCTTCGCCCGCTCGCGGGCTCGGCGCACAGCATTCATAAGGCGCTCCAATGTGACACCAGAGGACGATTCACGCAAACGTGGCGGTGATGGAGAGGCCAAAGGAGAAACCGTTACGGGTGCCACCGGCGCAGCGGCTTCTTCCACCGATGACAGTTGCGGTGGTATTGGTGTCACCTCTGCTCCCCGCCTGGCGCTTCTGGATGAGTGAAGGCAGCACGCGGCTTCTACCGCATCTAAACGTCGGCACAACGCCAGCAGCTCCTCGCGAATCCCGCCACTCGTGTCCTCCAGCGGCGCAGGGCTGTCGACCACAAGATCCGCATCACGCATGGACACGGCAGGAGCAGTCGCCCTCTCCGGCAAGGGCCTCGCAACCGGCACAGCCAAAGGCGCGTCTGCCCCCTCAATGATATTATACGGCTGCTCCAAAACTCCTGACGATACCGGTATGCCGTAATTCAACTGGTACCACGCCGTGGCGAGCTGCTGAGTCTCCGGTGCTCTTTGAACATTCCCGCCGGTGGCGTTTTCTTGGGTCGTCCAAAACCGCTGCAGTGCAGTATTGTCACGATGGTGATATTCATGTCTGTCTGCATCACCAACAGCACCATCTGCACTATAAAGAAGAGAAGAAGTTTGTGCAGCACGTGGAAACGCCAAAGGTGCCGCCCGTACCGAAGAATAAAAGACAGAAGACGGTATGGGGCCATCCACCTGACGTCGCCACCACGGATGTAAAATTGGCGTGATATTTGCGGTATCAACCACATCCACGAAACGCTCACCATCTGACATCCAACAAGATGCACGAAGCCGTTCGACACTGCCTGGAACAAAAGCAGTGGCGTTCATTGCCAACAATTTAAAGTCATTCTCCATCTCACGACCATACGGATGGAAATGCGCGGCTGTATGCTGTGAAGCCTCCTGTGGCATCATCCCCACCCGACTATCAGTAATGTCAACGTGTGCGTACGTATGTAGGCAGCTCTATAGCCAGCACCCCTCAACAGACAGAAAGAACGACCCTCAGAAATACACGCACACGCACACACTTCCACCAAAAAAACAAATAGGCAGAGGCGGCAAAGGAAAAGCGTTAAGGGGAAAAAAAGGAAACGAACAAAAAAAAAAAACAGGACAAAAGGAAGAAGGCGCACAGATGACAACAAAAAAGCAGCCGAAATAAAACCAAGGAAGCAGCAACCAAAACAAGAACAGTCACGTGGCTGCGGCCTCCTCCGCCCACTCCCCCTATTCTTACAGAAGGGGAAGGAAAAAAAAAAAAAGAAGAGACAACATCCCCTACAAAGCACACACCTCAGAGGGGATTCACCGCGCATGCATACACTACCATTAAAACGCACGCATGCAAAAGGCACACGCCACCAGCAGCCGGGATCTCTCGTTGCAAAGTCACGGTGCGGCAGTCTTTGAAAAAAAACCCGCAACCGCCAGCCTCCTCCTCCCACGTGGTGAGGGAGGACGGCAGCAGGGAGAGGCAACAAAATAAAAGGAACGGCACTCGCTGCCTCCCCGGCGTGGTATCGATGGGAAATAAAAGTCAATAATAAAAGGAAGCAGGGCGGCTAAACAAGCCAAACCAACACCCGCTTGGCTCCATTGGGTCACACATCCCTTCACGCAGCTTACTAGAAAGGAAAAAAATAATGCGAAGGAAAAAAAAAACGGAGTATTTGAAATAGACATATTCATGCATCTCTCTCACTTCTCTTCTCTCACTCAGCTCCCAAATTTCCACTGGGGCAGTCCAATTATCCTCGTCCACTCACTCTGTCCCTTTTTCAGTCTTTCCTTTTGAGTGGGCTCATTTGTTTTTGTTGTTTTTTTTTTGTTGTTGTTGTTGTTGTTTTGCTGATAATATCCCGTCATCCCTACTGTTGCTTTTGGCCATCCGCCATGTTGGGTGTGTTGAATAAAGCCGAGAGAGCGTAAATGACGTCGTCTGGGCGCAACGGCATTCTCAAGGGGGGATTTGTGATGAAGTACCGTGGCAATCCTGGCAGCCCCTCCGATGCCGGGAAAAGGCGAAACACACCGATGGCCACCCATGAGCGCCGCGAGAGAAGAAACGAAAAGGCGTCACCAAAGGTTTGAAAATGCAGCAGTTGATTGCCGCAAAGTTGAAAGGCGGTCCCAAACTTTCTGCCGTAGCTTAACCACGGCGCAACGTCATAATGGTCCATTTTTCCCTGTTGTTGAAGCACCATCGCAAAGAAATGAATGATGCGTTGGTCATGGTGGGCATGAATAAATATTGTTTGCAGCATATTTGGTGAAAAGCACCGGCCCATCATGAAGGCCAGTGAGTCTTGAAATTGTTTCTCACCTCGCCGGCGCCACTCCGGATCGGTGTGGTACGGACTGACGGAAATGCAGGAGACAAACGACTTCAGCTCCAACACCATATTTTGCTCCGGCAGATTTATCGGCTCCGTTTCTTCTTCAACCGGCTCCCTAGCCGGATGACAAGCGCTCGCCTCCAGTATTGTGCATACATTGTTCCCCACAGTGATGAGTGGGATGTCCGAAAAATCCCATGCGCCAAGCTGTGAGCAGTAAAGAAGAATCCCGCGCAGCTTAGAAATACCCCCGCTCTGCCAGATGGCGTACTCCAAATGGGACTCCGACGTACTTAACCCACGTATGTAACGCAACGGGTACCCAAATGTCTGCTTCCACCAGTGCAAAAACTCTTTCGAGAGTTTCCGAGAAGTAAGAAGTGTTAAGCGGGACTGGGTATAAATAGAATGTATGCTGTGCATCATTTCTGAGAGCTCATTGCGTGAGACGTCCTCATCGAGGTATTTTTCATACAATGACGAAAACGCAGGTTTTTTAAAGGATGTCACTTGGTCAATGAAGAGAAAATTTTCCATGATGTCCTCCTTTCCCACCCCGTTAATATACTCCGAGGCGACGTGTGTGAGAATGTCGTTGATTTGTTGCTCCAGCCGTTCAATGGAGTCCATTGTTGTGTCATGCTTCTCGGAAATTGCAGCCCGACGGCAGCTCAACAACTCCCTCAGCACCGATGCTGAACCGCCCAACGGAAGCTCCTTCAGAGAAACGCCTCTTGGATGCTTATCAACAAACGCCTCCTCTAGCAGTTGTCGTCGTAGCTCCAACATACTTGAATCACGAACTAGTAATCCCTGAAGGGCGGGTGAAGGCACACCTCTCTTTCCCCCCACACCATTACTCAGCCATGAGGGAGTGCCTCCTCCCTTCCCTGGAGACGCCTTCGCTGCCTCTTCATCCATCAGGTCAAAGCTCCTGTTAAAGGGGTAATAGAGCTTGTTATCATTCATGCCCGCGCTCTTCTCATCCGTCTCGAGCTCAAAGAGATCCTGCCCGGACATGGTAAAAGAGCCCCAGTTTGGTTGAGAATCAACAAAAGCGTCGTTATTGACCGTGCTAGCACCAAATGAAGTGACAGCACCGCTCCCCCCTGGTTCAAGTCGTTTCAACACCTCCAATAGATTGACCCGACCACGTTCGTGTATAACAAGCAGTGTATCGCCCTGCTCAAGGGCATATTCGAAATCCAATCGCATGACTTTACGGGACCCCTCCTCCACGCCCACAACGAGGACGTCATGCAACTTCATAAGCCGCACGACGCGGGAGATTGTGAGATGCACAAAAAACCATGGCACTGGGCATGTGGCAAATATATTGCGTCGACTGTACTCATACAAGCTCTTCCAGTTATCCTTCTCACTCTCATCCCACAGGTTTGGTGGGGAGGTGCCTGAAGCGGAGGAGATGCGCACAAGATTGACAAGAAACGGTACCACCCCAGGTAGCAACAAAGCAGCTGACATAATAAATTTATTGTTTTGGTCAATCATAAACATCCCTCGTCCCCGTAAAAGCCTCGCATGAAAGGCAAAGCGGAGCCGCAAATACTGCGGAACGTGTGGGGCACGGCGTTGAAATACGGTAGACCATAGCATGATATCCGCATCCACGGTTTTAGAGACTGCATCTTTCCCGGGAAGAATAATGATCGCGGACGACTCTGATATCCGCAGGCGTTCCAGCATTACTCTATCAAGAAACTTCACTTGAAGAAATTTACTACGCAATCTGTAGCGTGGGTGACGACCAATCGCCAAAACATCCGGTGAGAAGGCGGTGTAACAAAAACAAACCGTCTTCATGGGGTAAAGAGCCAAAACCTCCTCAAGAATCGACACGGCATCCTCTCGACTGACGTGACCGTATACAAAGAAATGATTTCGCCTTCCTGTGTACCGTGGAAATTCGCGTAGAATCTGCGCGGTTGATATCACCAGCATAATCAAAGAAGACATCATAGCGAGAAAAACACATATAATAACAATGGCTAAAAAATGACCATCCAGCCCCTGTGGAATAATATCTCCATAGCCAACCGTTGAAATCGTCACCACCATCCAGTAGATAGCAAGGTCAATTTCTAAATGATAGCCACGAAACACCTGATGCATGTGGAAAATGCACCCAAACGTAAACAACAAGGCGACAAAAAAACTTAATGGACCGGCAGCAAAACGAATGACATCCAGTCGATGATTACGTGGAGTCAATGTGGCCAAGGAATCTAGCACAAAGAGAAAATACTGTCGCATCGGCCAGCAGCGTAAAAAAAGAGGCACGTAAAGGCGACTAACCCACCCCATGCCACTCACAAGTGCCACAAAATATGTAATTATTCGATAGCCTGATGTCACCAGCACGATAGTGATAGTTACGGGACCAACGTTGTACGCAACGAGAAGTTGGGAAAGAAGAACAATTGAAAGAATGGTCTGAACAGTGGCGTACCAGTCAAAATCATGCATGCCGTATTCAATCCATGTCACCTTGCCAGAGCGTGTTGTCTGTACAATATAAAGCGTGACGATGGCCGTTTCACATACAAAAAGAAACAACCATACACATATCGCCAAAACGGGGTGTTTCCGCACAAAAGTCTGAAAGAAAAGTTTAGGTCCTGTCATCATGGGAAAACCAAATGGGGGCTGCCCTCGCCAACGGGGCCCACAAAAGTAAGAAAAGTACGAAGCCCAAAAAGAGCTATTACAACCTGAACGTGTATTTTTTTCTCTTTGATGGTCTTGTATTTGCAACAGGAATGCACGCCGCGTAGGACGATATTGACTACGATTACGGTAACGCCATGAACGTACATATGGGAAAAATCCAGCGTACCGCCTGTCGTGACCGGTCATTGTGAGGTCAACCACGTCGTTCATGACGTCATCCCCAGCATGCAGATTGCCGCCTGAGATGGACATCTCCGGCACAACACTTGAAAAAAACGTATTGTCTCCCCCCTTCATCCTTCTTTATTCTCCTCTCTACACACTCAGAGAGAGAGAGAGAGAGCGAGAGACTCACCCAGCCACACCACTACAATCCTTTGAAGAAATATAAATAAATTAAAATAAAAACTTCCTTTGTGTTCCTTTTGTTTCACTTCCCCTATCCCCCAAATATTTCAGCAAATGCAGAAGACACAGAAATGCAGAGAAGCCCCAGTGAAGTGTGAGTTTACCATTTCAGCCCCCTCCCAAAAAAAAAAAAAAAAGTCAACGGTACCGTCATCACAGCCACAGTGATAGAAAAACAGTCATATTGAATAACTGTGTGCATTTGTGTGTGTACAGGCATGGCACCTGCATTATTGGCCGTGTGCGCATACACCCAGATGTATGCAAATATTAGTGTTAGAGTTGAATAGACAGAGTTGATGAAGTGGAGTGGGGAGGGGAGAATGGCAGGAAAAATAAAAATAAAAATAAATAAAACTCAACATATCAGAAGCACACTCACATGCAGAAAGAAAAAAAGGAATAAAAAGAAGAACAGGACCTCTTCAAAAAATTGTCTCTTCCTTCAGAGTCTTACAATTTGATCCGCCTGTTGTA